GACAAAGTTAATTATTGAGATAGTAAAAAGTACAACGGTTTAAATACTATATAGGTGAGTTAATCATAGGGTGGCATAGCCCTGCGCTGGCGGCTTGCCCGAGTCATGCCCGAGGTTCCGGCTGATTGCCCGAGTGATAGTAGTCATGCCCGAGGTTCCTGCCCGAGGGTCCGGCTCTAATTGCCCGAGGCTGCTCTAATTGCCCGAGTCATGCCCGAGCCGGCTCTGATTGCCCGAGTCATGCCCGAGGTTCCGGCTCTGACTCCAATAGAGGATGACCAGGAGAACCGCTGCATTCCATGCGTCGGCCTTTTAGTAGGCGCCCTGAACAACATTCACACGGGCGAGTGCCAAATTTTGGCATGCCGGACGTTGTTGTATTCTAAACCCGGCATATTGGAACAAAATTCAGCTCACCGAGCACCAAAGCCGTTTTCCAGATTTTCAGTTCCAACATCAGCTCATCCCTTAAATTCATTCCGATATTCCAAGTTTCAGATAGAACGTTCGACCTCCCGAAATTTGGGAAGCTTAGTGATGGGTACTGGGTCTTTGTTCCCACTTTGTCATTTCTTTGTTTTAGCACGCATAGACATGTTTGCCAAGTTTCGGGACACCAGATGTTCTATTTTAAAGTTGGACTATCAGAATAGCACTCGGGCCTCAGCTGATTGTGCAACCGAAACTCATGGAATTAGATCCAGCTTACGTCTTGCCAAATTTGAATTTGACCCCTCAGCATTCGAATAGAACGTCCGGGGTGCCGAAAATTGGCAATCACCGGTGTGATTTAGGCCCAACGTTGTCGCTAAAATTGGTAAGGCGGGTGCGCGGAAAGTGAGAGTCAGAAACCGGCAATTGTAGTAGTAACCGCTTCCCAGTCGTTGTGGTAGTGCCAATCTTGGGCAGTGCTTTATCTCTTGCCTCAACGACTTGGAGTTCTCTGTGTATTTTCCCACTGCTTCCGAAGTGCTGGGGCAGGACGCACTTCCTGGGCTTGTTCTGCGCAAATCCCATCCCAGGTCGCAGTTGAGCAAAGCTTTGCCAAGTTCACCACTGCATCTCTGTCCCCCTATACGACGAAGCCGGATGCAAATCCGCGATACACAATATTTCCGCTCCGGCACGCATCTCGTATGTTGATCTGACGTCTGCGGGCTGAAACCCCGACCGCACGGGTTTCCGACCGTGATCTCCCGACCAGCGTTCGTCGTTGCCTACCTTCTGCCCGTCGCAGTTTCTTTGTTTTGGATGGGATCCCTCTCTCTCAACTTTGATATGCCACATCTCTCAATCTCCGACTCCTTAACTCTTTTTTTTGGAAGCGCAAGTGCACAATGTCAGACCGTTTAGACGGCGCCGATTGTCTCATGTGGTGTTGGGCACGTTCCGAACGTTCTACTGTTCTGGACCCTGAACTCTAGATTCAATGCCTATACCTAGGATCTGTTTCCACATTAGAGGGCGGCGGCAGCGTAGGGATTACCCCAAACCTTGAACTTACTCGCCGAGTCTTCAACCACGGATCCAGATCTTGGCACGAACTTCGAATTAATATTCGGTGCATTTTCTAGTTCACTGAAGCCGTTGTTGCTACTACATCTATGCTTCAGACTGATGGTCTCTTAGCATTCGATTAGCCCCCTTCGATTCACGACGCAAATGTCCTCATCTTGGTACCTTCAAGTTCGCCCAGCGGAAGTGTTTATTTCATTCCCCCACCCCGAGTCCAACTTGCGAAATTAGCTTCTTGGACTTGCAGTATATTTTCATTCTCATTTGCCATTCCGAGTCGCTCAAACTTGTAGTAGCAACAGTTTAAATGTGAATCAGCTTTTGCTGAACTCTCTCAATTGCATCTGTGCAAACTCTATTCATACACGAAAGATGTCAAGAAATCAACAAGAAATGAAAGATAACAACCAAAGACTTAAGACGTAGCCCCAAAGACAAAGATGTTCTAAGACGCGGATCCAAAGACCAAAGATGACCTTCCAAGACAAAGACCTGAAAAGACGGGTCTCAAAGACGTAAGACGTCAAAGACAACTGGGTAGTTTTACTGATGTCATTGTGGAATGTTTGAGTTGGTCCGCTTCCAAACTTGAAGTTCAGCAGATGGCCGGGAAGGTCACAGCGTCGAACAAGTCTGGCGCCTGTGATATCCAGAGTGGAGTGGCCAGAATACGAGCGACTTGGCAAATACATCCAAGACACTATGGTGAAGCGGAAAGTGCGGATCATTGCTCCGAAGGTGGCGGTGCACATTCTTCGGAACCCTCAAACTACACCCGTCTTGCATATCCTCGCATCGAAGCTCGGGCATTTTTATCTTCGCCTTTTTCTGCGTTTGCGAGGTTTGCGGGATGGATGTCCAGCAGTCGTAGTTTCGTTCCATGCAGGGAGGTCCAGGCCATGCATGGTACGTTATCCCCGAACTCCGTATTCGGCTGTTTCCATTCTTCCTTTTTCTCCTACCTCGTCGCTTCTCCCTGTCCCCTTCCCGACAGCATCCTCCTCGCTTGCTCCTCGCCGCCATTAGTTCATCTTTTCCAGAGTTCGTCTTCGTAGTTGCCGGGTGCACGAGTAGCCCGCGTGTCGTCCATGGTCGTGCATCCGCGTTCTGGTCCTCTCAAGGTCCTCTGCAGGGGTTAGGGATGTAGAATACGGATGGAAGGAAGCCGAACTAGTCCCCTCGCTCCCTTCTTTCAGTTCGCTCATGATCATCCGTTCCCCTTCTTCAGTGCCGTCTAGATACCCGACGAGATACTGCTGTCCGGTCCCGGAAACTCGTCACGCCCCCTTGACGCAATGCGCAAGGCGCGTCATACTAGTACCTCGGCGCGAGGTACGTGCCTTCCCGTGCTCCCTACGCTCTTTGGCTCACCTCGGATTTTACCGTTTCTTGTTAGGTCTCGCGTGCGGTTTCCTTCCTCTCTTGCCATCCCTCGCGCGCCTCTTCCGATGGCCTGTTTTTTTCCGGCTTTGTTTCGCGCGTGCGCCTCTCCCGATGGCGCTGGACTTGGACATGGACATAGATTCCGGGCGACGCGCTTGTTCCCGCGCCCTCAGGGGATTCATTCCTCGACCTCTCTCCACGCTCGGAAGTACGGGAGCGCACGCCCGGATCATCTTGGGTTGGGAGCGCGCGAATCGTCGCTAGGTCGGTGCCTGTCCACCGGCCTGGGAGCTCCGCTCCGCATCTTCCGCCCCAGTAGTCCGGCCTCGACCTTGCTCGTCGAGCCGCTTACTCGCTCGTCGACCTCCCGCATTGTTGGCGAACCCGCAAGCACACACACTCCCCGCGCTCGTGTACTCCTCGTGCACCCGCGCGTCGTCCATAGTGTGCGGAACGCGCGCTGCGTTCTACCTCCCGTTTCTGGAGCGCGCAAGACCACGCGTCCCTTCGCCTCCAAGTGCGCCCGCCCCCCTCGTGCAAGCTCTCCTCAATCGGCGGGGATCCCGTGCTCTGCGCGCTTCGGGCAGCTGCGCTACCTTTGCGCGAAGGAAGAAGGGGTTAGTTACGCGAGTCCCTCCGCCGGCTCCTGCCAGATCATGCTTGGCTTTGGCTTGGGCTGGCGACGAGCTCGAGGCTTGAGATGGAGGACAGGAGGAAGGCGAGGTAGGAAGAAAGGTGTATGGAAGAAAGGCTGGAGGCGCGGCACGTCTCACGGAGGACGAGGCACGCGGTGTACGCGGAGGCAGAGCGAGGCTCTATTCTTTCGCTATAGCTACTCGATCTGCTCGTCGTCGACGACGCGAGGCACGTCTGCTCGCCGCATCCCTTTCTTCATTTCGCCTGTGCTCATCCGTCCCCGTTAGTGGCGTCGATATATTTCCGGGCCTAGATATGTTATTGTATTTCCCCGGAATACCGTTCTTGTTTCCGCGCAACGCTCCGGCACAATAAGCGGCTTAAATCGCTTAAGCTATACTGTGTGACTACCCACCAATGTATTGCAACACACCTGTATACACTATTAGAGAGCTTGCGCAAAAGCCGCACGCGCCGCATGCGGCTTTTTTGCATTGCGCAAAATTACGTGGTTTCTGCCCTGTTAGCTCTATGTTTTTGTGAGCTCAGTATGCCCTCCGGTCTCCATGACACTATATTGCATTAATTTGAGTGGGTGTCTGGTCGATGCGTAGCCTGGGGGGCCTTTTTTTCCGATCATCACTCCAGCTCCACCCAGACTTCCCACAGTTTTCGCGTCCCGCACACACCAGTTGAGGCACAGATGAGATTTTTACACCCACCTCTGCTTATCATTTTATTCAACTGCCTTTCTATCGACTTGGTTTCTCAGTAATCCCAAGTTTTTGTTTCCGCATGCGGCTTCGCGCAATGCAAAAAAGCCGCATGCGGCGCGTGCGGCTTTTGCGCAAGCTCTCTATTAAAGATGGGGCTTAAACCTTGCTACGTTGCAACGTGGTTGGCTTAAGCCAACCTAAACAGGATTTATCTCGTTTGAATGGAGCCTGGGCCATAAAAGGGCAGCATGAGGACTTTTTATTCCTCGTTCATTCATTTGATTCCACTCCATAAAAATTCTAGGCTGATAAACAGGGCTACAGGTAGGAAGCACAAGCCTTCTCGCGGATGGTCCGAACCCGCCGTCCATGAAATTGTGGATATGATTTTCATGCGGGGCGCTCGTTCGAAGCGGCCCTGGGTCATCTGGTTAGTCTGCGGCATTTTTTGTTTCACTTTGACTTCGTTCCATCCAAACTCTACACTAAACTTCACTAGGCAGCATACCCAGTGACGGATCGTCCGCACTCTTACCCAGTTTTTCGCCGCAAAAAGGTTTTCTGCCGGGGTCACTCGTTCGAATCGAGCCTTTTTTGCTCTGAGAAGCCGGATTATTTCCCCCGCGAGCACAAGCCAATTCACATCCTAACTGCAGTTCCCAATTATGCGGATGCGATCATCGTTAGGAGAGTAACGGCGAGAAAGGACACAATTCAACTCGTGTCCAAGCTCACAGGCTACAGGTGAAAGCCCCAGTGGCGAATGGTCCGCACCTGCAGCGAATTCAAACGTCATGAATGAGTTTCCGCGGGGGTCGCTCGTTCGAGTCGAGCCTGGGTCATAAGGCACTAGTTGAGATCATTTTTAATCTTCGTTTCTTCGGTCTAACTTTATTTCATCCAAACTCCAAGGGATCAACAGGGGTACAAAACTGAAGCCCGGTGGCGGATGGTCCGCACCCGCCTTCCATGAGCATCTGATGTAATTTCTGCGGGGGTCGCTCTTCGATTTGAGCCTCGGTCATTCTATGGTATTTTTGTCCGCTTTGAATTCGTTCCATCCGCGTTCAACGCCAATAAAGAGAGCCACAGATAGAAATGTAGCCGATGGTCCGCACCGAAACCGGATATGAATCAAGGTTTGGGCAAATGCCGGACACATCCCATTCAATTCGAGGTGCTTTTTGTTACAACCCCCCTGAAAATCCACGATTACAGCTCCAAGTGTAAGGCCCAATGGCGGATGGTCCGCACCCACATTTAACGAGGGGCGACATACAGACTTTTTTGTCCAACGAGATTTTTCCCGCATCGCGTTTTTGACCGTTTACTTTTTTGGTCTTGTCCGGTTTTGTACTATAACGTACAAGCCAAAAAAGACCGAAAGTTCGCAAGACCACAAGACATGTCTAAATTCCCATAAGATTAAAAATATTATTATTTTGACCCAATACATTGACATCTAGGCACGATTTCTGTGACCTATTTTATCGTCCAGGAGACAAACAAGACAAAAAAGCCTGAATGTCCAAAAGTTTTTCTCGGTGTCCTTGGTAGAATGAACATCCCGGTCAATGGAGCGACCGTGTTCCGCGGCTTATCTCGACGTCTACACCTCGTGGTGAACTTGAGAACGACACTGATTTCTTCTGATGCTGTGTGACCGACAACTTACTTTTTTACCCCACCCCCCTGTTCGTTCCCGCAGGGCAATAGCGGAAACAACCTCACCCAGGCCGGAGGGGGTGATGGGCTCGTCGCTCCCGTTCCTCCCGATGAAGGCTTTGGGCAAGAAAGCGATGGCCGACAACAGGCAGGGACCCTTGATGGAGTCCCACAAGTATTCCACGGTGTGAACCGTGGACGCAACATCTTTGTCGCTGTGCTAAATCAGCACCCCGCAAACAGGCGGGCTTTCGGGCAATCACCCCCCTCTGCTTCACCCGCAGATGCACGACCGCGTGATAATCAAAATAGCGACGCACCAAATTGCACGGGTACCCCACCCGTTCAGGATCATCCCCTGACCAGCCGAGTCAAGGTCCGGAACAACCTCGCACGCGACAACCGAGGTCGCAAAGAGCTAGGAGACAACACATCAACCAAAATAATAAGTTGAGAAAAGCTCCGCCTGGCACCAACAAAAAAATCAAAAAACACACAAAGGTGTACATCTCAATAGCCTCCCTGAATATGAGGGGTCGATTCCACAACGGGGCCGATAAATGGCTGAACATTAATCAAATCATGAGAAACAAAAAGATAGGGATACTTGCACTGCAAGAGACTCACCTATCGCCAAAAGATGTGGACGATGTCCACCGACTGTTTGGGAAATGCCTCCAGGTTTTCGCCACAATTGACCCAGCAAGCCCCCAGTCAAAGGGAGTAGCAATAGTCATCAACAAGGACCTGTCAAATATAATAGGCATTACAGAAAGAAAAATTATTCCGGGAAGAGCACTACACCTAACGATCCCATGGCACGCAGACAAAAAAATGACGGTGCTTGCAGCCTATGCACCGAATGACCATGTGGAAAATGCCCAGTTCCTATATAACCTGGAAGAAAAGACGAGAAACCTCAATAAACCAGACATCTGCCTTGGAGACTGGAACATGGTGGAGGACCTGATTGATAGACTTCCGACCCAGAAATGCCCTTCATTGGTAAAGGACGCTGGGTAATGCCGCTATATCTGCTGAAAGACAAGAAAGCTATGAGCCAGGTATACTCGCTATCACAAAAAGTAACCGGAAATGGGCTGATTGCATCAGACCATGTGCACCAACTTCAACCTGACGGTCCTCCCTATGGATAGCTATTAGCATAACTTGTTTCAGAGAAATCGGTCCATTTGCTTTGTCTATCGTGGCGGACAGATCAGCCGTGCTTGTTGTCATATGCTGCCTCATCAACCGCAAGGCAAAATCTCTGGAAGAAAACTCTTAGACACGTGACGGAGAGCCTGGTGCTCATGGAGTAGACCCAACAGCATCTTGAGCGAAATTCAGAACATCCAGATCATAGATCATGCAGCATAACAGAGCTACAAACCGTGCTTCAACTAAGGCAGCGAAATTTCAACATACATCACCAAACACCCGATTGGGAACACGGTCCCGGAGCAGGGGTACCAGAGATAAGTCGTACAAATTCTCTACTGTCTCCTCAATGACTTTTCAGCGAGGATATGGTGGTAAATGGCAGATTACATCAGCAAATCCTGATTGTTGCTGTAGCAAAGGTATACCCCTTAGATAGTGTTACGTAGCACTACGTAACGCTATCCAAGGGGTATACCTTTGCTACAGCAAAAATCAGGATTTGCTGATGTATGTGGCTAAACAAGACAACACTCCATTTGAGGACCACGCAGGATTGACTGGCTGAACATGTTGGCCTGTTTCACCCTATTTAAGCAGTTACTTCCTAAGTCTTTGGGGCTCAAATTGTTGGGAACATCCCCAGGACTTCTCTCGGAAAATACTAGACCCTGTCTGTACACAATGCCACCGCTGCGCAAAACGCTTTTGGGCATTCGGGACAAAATCACGTGCAACGGAATTTCCCGATTTATCGAACACATACTGATCGTTGCCATTCCCGAAAGTGAGTGGGAGGCAGCCATATAACCTAGAAAACATCTATATGTGGATGGAAGTAAAATAACTCACCAATTGCGATCACAATAGACGAATTTCCGGTTACTTTTTGTGATTGCGAGTATGATAAATGTACTGCACACTACTAACACGATTGAATTGCCTGCCGTCTCTGTATCAGCGCCGACCACAAATTGTCATTGAACTGCAGTTTTTCGAGCCCGTGGTCCGGTATGTTGTCTATCATTTTATTTGCATTTTACTGTCATCATGCGCTGCAAGGTGTTGACACCTTCAAGGCATCCGACTGCGCCCACAGATGATTTGATCCAGTTCATGGTGGGTCCGGGAAGTGGTGCGTGCCCTTTGCTTACACCGGATCTCACCATTCAAAATTATAGCCATTCAGAAATGAACAGTATCAACCTCAACTGCGGCATTCCGAGTTTTGCGCAGCATGGAGTCACAAACGTGAGCTATTGGTTAGTCTCTGGTGAGTGGTTACACTTCTACTAAGCATGTGTAATCCTTCGGTGAATTTTTTCTACACGAGCCGCGTTATCAAATCCTCTGCGACTCTACACGCCAAAGAAGTGCTTTCGTAGAGCGTAATTGTCTCAATGGACGTCTTTGGAATGCCCACGCAATTATATTCACCATAATTTGAATTCATGCGCACTTTATCGGCACCCGTCCACGCCGGAGCGAAGCGAAGGCACATCTTGTGTCCTCCCAACCATCACTCATATGGACATAACTATGGATATTGACTCTCAATGATACATGGGACATATACGGAAACGAGAAAAAAGAAACTTCAAACTGTGCTCAGGCTGAGGGATGTCCCTGATACCGCCGAACCTCACAAGGTGGAGGCCTGGACTCTCTATGATTGAGGGTGAATTAATAGTGTTGCATCACGGGTAAAAAATTCAACACACCTTGTGAATATCTTCGATGGTCTTAGAAAGTGCCTGGGCATCTCTCTGTTTGCCCAGCTCCTTGTATGTGATCAACAAGCTGCGCATAGATCTCAGGGTATCTGGATGGTCCACTCCCAAAACCTGCTTCTGTTTCTCAACAACCTCAAAGCAGAGCTTTTGGCCTCCTTCCATTTTCCCAAGTCGGTGTAAGTAACAGCCAAGTTGTGCATAGATGTCAGGGTATTTGGATAGTCCACTCCCAAAACCTGTTTCCGTTTCTTGACAACCTCCAACCCGAGGTCTTCAGCCTCCTTGAACTTCTTCAATTCATTGTAAGCAGCAGCCAAGCTAGACATAGACCGCAGGGTATCTGGATGGTCCACTCCCAAAACCTGTTTCCCTTTCTTAACAACCTCCAACCCGAGCTCTTCGCCCTCCTTCCACTTCCGCAATTCGTTGTATGTAACAGCCAAGTCGGACATAGACTTCAGGGTATCTGGATGGTCCACTCCCAAAAACTGCTTCCGTTTCTTGACAACCTCGAAGTAGAGCTCTTCGGCATCCTTCCACTTTCCCAATTTGGCGAAGGTAAGAGCCAAGTGGTGCATAGATGTCAGGGTAGCTGGATTGTCCACTCCCAAAACCTGCTTCTGTTTCTTGACAACCTCAAAGTAGGGCTCTTCGGCCTCCTTGAACCGGCCTTCTCTGTGGTGAGCACTGGCCAATTCTGCCATGGATGACAGCTTGTCCAGAAGGTCTTTGTTCAATAGCACACTGTGGCCTGTGAGATTATGGTTTGGACTGCTAATCTCTGTACCCCTTGGGCTGGTCATTGAGGCCTCCACAGGTGAATCCATTGAGATTTCTGATATGATATCCACTACCAGAGCATGTATTTGTCCTGCTGTTGGCCGTGCTTTGGGATCTTGAAGCCAACATTTTTCTGCCAAATTCCAGAGTGGATCAGTCAACTTTGGGACATCTTCTATCTCTGGCCGATCTGGTCTGACCCCAAGCTGGAAGACCAGCTCAATAAAGTCTGTGTGCACGATGTTGACCAGTGGTGTTTCGCCACTATACAGCTGTGTTTGTGATCAGCAAATGTTCGAACAAGAAAAATGAGAAAAGCACACCTCAAATAGTGTCATCCCAAATGCATAGATGTCGGACGGCATTTTGGGAGGTGAGCCAGCCAGGAGCTCTGGAGCCATCCAGTTGCGGCTTCCTATAATTACAGGATTGACTGTATGTGCAGTGCGACTTGTGGCATCAGCTTTGATGCGAGACAGACCAAAGTCACATAAGAGAGCCCT